ATAATAATAATAATAATAATAATAATAATAATAATAATAATAATAATTGAAAACATTTCACTTGTCGGTAATGTTACATTAATTATTAATGAGCAATTAAAAAAGAAAATGGCCGAACGCTTTTAAATAATTTATGTGAAAACATTTTGAAAAAAAAAAAGGGGGTAAAATACCTTTTGGGGGAGGGGAAAAAAAAAAAAAAAACTTTTTAATGATTCGCATAATTCTTATTTATTTATTTATGTATCGTCCCTTTTAAACATTTTTTTTTTTTTTTCAAAAAAAAAAAAAAAATTGGGTTATTGATTCCTTAAAATTTTTCCTTTGTTTCGGGGGGAGGAGGAGGAGGGAGGGGGAAAGGTAAACAGGGAACGAACACGAAGAATCAAATAAAATATATATATAAACGTAGAACTTGTAAAAAAAAATTTGCATTTGACCCCATTGCATAAAAAAAAAAAAAAATTTTTTTTTTATTAAAAAATGAGGGAAGGGAAAATTTTACTAAAAAAAAAAAAAAAAAATTTTTTTCTTAATCGGGATTAAAGGATTAAAGGATTAAAGGATTAATGGATTAGTAATTTTTTTTTTTTTTTTTTTTTTGGATTAATTTCAATCAATGAGTTTTATCTCGCGCTTTTTTAAGGGTTTTTTAAATGAGTGTGTGTGTGTGTGTGTGAACATTCGTTGTAATAATAATAATAATAATAATAATAATAATAATAATAATAATAATAATAATAATAATAATTTTATATTAAAAAACTTTTGTTAGAAATTAAATTTTCACACCCTAATCGACTCATTTAAACTAATTTTTTAAATTTAAATCAGGTTCGTCCAAGTATTGAACTTGTGATTTTCGAATTGATTGATTGATTGATTTTGTTTTTTTTTTTTTTTTTTTTTCATATCACGGGTTTTTAAAAAAACAAACAAACAAACAAACGAAATTCAAAATTTGTCAAACTTTTATTTTATTTTATTTTTTTTTGCAAAATTACGACAGTAAAAATTTAAAAAAATAAAATGATTAAAAATATTGCATTTTATCAATTTTTTTTTTTTTTTGGAACGGAGAATTTTTATAAATAAATAAATTATTGTAAACAATAAATAATAATAATAATAATAATAATAATAATAATAATAATAATAATAATAATAATAATAAATGGAAA